CCCTTATTTCTGGAGGCCATCACAAGATGGAAAAACCTTCTCCTTGCTTCTCCTAGATCTTGGAAGAGGTTGTGTGTGTGTGTGTGTGTGTGTGCACACGCCATTTTCTCCCTCAATCTGGTCTTGTGTATGACCAAGTCTATAAACAACCATGTTTAATAACTAACAGCTTTGTCTGGTATTTTCTCCAGAACTGTTCTCATATGGAGGAAAAAAATTTTCTTCTTAAAGTCACAGTTTTCCAAGATATAGATGTAAATCAGATAATAAAGCCAGAGGAAAGATAGTAGATTTTGGCCCAACTAGAAATGCCTGTCCTTCAAAGCCCTGTCTAGTTGTTACCTCCTTTATTCAGACTCTGGGACCACCTCCCAATACAGAATGAATCGCTCCTGCAATGCCACACTTTGCTTATGACATTTCTCTCTTATACACATATGTCAGTCATACCCGTATAATAGTTATCTGTTTACATGTCTTCTTCCCCTCAGATGTGAGCACCTGAAGGGCAGTGGCCATATTTTAATCCTTTATTCAGTAAATATTTTCTGAGTGCCTCCTATGTGCCAGGAGCTGGTCTAAGAACTGGGACGTTGGAAATGAACAACCTGACAAAGTTTCTCCTGCACGTGGCTTATTATTTTTGCATTTCCCAATGTCTAGCATAAGTGTATTAGTTATCAATTGCCACATAACAAATTACCCCTAAATTTAGCAGCTTAAAACAAAAAAAAATTTATTACCTCACCCAGTTTCTGAGGAAGCCGGGAGCATACAAGGAAAGCCAAGATTTTGTTTATTTTTCACATCAAAATTTTGCTCAGAAATATGAAAGATATATACACAAAATATAATTTGGTAGAAATCTGGGAGCAGTTTGGCTAGGTAGTTCTGGCTCAGGGTATCTCATGAGCCTGCTGTCAAGAGCTCAGCCAGAGTATCGTCATTGGAAGTTTGATTTGGCTGGAGTATCTGCTTCCAGGCTCGCTCACATGGCTGTTGGCTGAAGACCTCAGTTCCTTGCCATGTAGCCTCTCCATAGGGTGTTCATGACATAGTGGCTAGCTCCCCCCAAATGAATGTTCCGGGAGAGAGAAAGAATGAGCAAAAAAGGAGCTGCAGTGTCTTTTGTCTAATCTCAGAAGTGACACACCATTACCTCTTCCATATTCCACTGGTCACACAAACCAATCCTGGTACAATGCAGAAGGAGACTACAGAAGGGAGCAAGGATCATCCAGGGACATCTTGAAGGCTGCCTGCCACAGCAGGGCAATCAGTGATGGGTGTTCAGAAACCATTTCTTAAAGTTTTACCCCAACAATCCATAAGTCAAAACCTCTACTTTAAGAAAATAATATGGACTTTAGTTTTAGAACAGTTTTAGTTTTACAGCAGAATCAAGTGGAAAGTGCAGAGTTCCCATGTCCGCCCTGCCTCCACACGACCACAACCTCCCCCACTATCGGCATCTTGCAACACAGTGGTATAGTTGTTACAATTTATAAACCTACATGGACACGTCATGATCAACCAAAGTCCATAGTTTACATAATGATTCAATCATGGTATTGTACATTCTATGGGTTTGGAAAATGTGTAATGACACGTATTCATTATTATAGTATCATACAGAATAGTTTCACTGTGCTGAAAGTCCTCAGTGCTCCACCTATTCGTCCCGCCCTCCTCCCAACCCCTGGCAACCACTGATCTTATTGTCTCTATAGTTTTGCCTTTTCCAAAATGTCATGTAGTTGGAATCAAACAATATTTAACCTTTTCAGATTGGCTTCTCTTAGTAATATGCATTTAAAATTTCTCTGTGTCTTTTCATGGCTTGATAGCTCATTTCTTTTACTTTCTTTCTTTCTTCCTTCCTTCCTTTCTTTTCCTCCCTCCCTCCCTCCCTCCCTCCCTCCCTCCTCCTTTCTCCCTTCATTTGTGCAGGACTAAGCTTGGCACAGTCAAGGACATACTTCCTTCCTTCCTTTTCTTTCTTTTCTTTCATTTTTTCTTTCAACAAATAAGTGAGCATACTTTTTGCCCTGGCTTTACTGATCGTATTGTTTTGGAATGTTTTTAATCTTACGGTAAACTTAAATTATTTGAATGGTTTACCCAGCTAACATGTTGCTTCCATGTAATATTAAAAAGTCGGTAAATGAGTTTGAGGCAGACTTAGTAACTTGTCTTTCCCCTAAACTGTCTTCTTTCTCATACAGTCATATTCTCTAGCCATCTTGCCAGAACCATTCATGTTCTGCTTGTCTAACCATTTGTAGAAAATCTCTATTTGAAACACTTATTATGTCCTATTTAAAATAGATTTTGTTTAATGTACAAAGTAACCATGTCTTGCCAAGAGAACTGAGCTCTTGCAGAAAAAGGTCTATGTTGTATATATTAGTTGACAAAGGGACGTGTCACCAGTGAGTCTTTGCTATTAAATAGAAGCCTCAAGTAGAGGGGAAGGGAGCTACTACTCTTTGATGGAAAAAAAAAACAGAGCTATGTCATTGCAGTTTGTCCCACTCTTACACAGAGCTAGCAAAACACATGCAAACGACAAATACAAGATTCAAGTTAGCAGTGCTGTAGGCTGTGTGATTTTCCTCCTCTTGTTTTGCCAAGATTGAAAGTCAGTATAGACTTGACAATAAAAGGATGATGTTTTAATCAGTGGGATTAAAGGAAAAGTGGTCCTTACTCTTATGACTGATTGACTTAGGAAAAGATTTTCATTCCCAGAGGAATTAAGAGGGCCATACATTTTTGTTTCCCTCCCCAAAATGAAATATCTCAAGCTGAATGGCAATTAGCACTAATCTTACACTTTATAAATCGTGATGTATATTGTTTGCACTTAATCCTTAACTGCATTAACATTCAGCTTATGAACTGACTGCCTCAAGTTCAAGAAAGTTATAATGCTTTGCTGTGCCTCAATCAAAAATTACATGCAACAACCTTTATATCAACTTTTTTTTCTGAGAAAGGATGACTTCTTGTTATAATGAACCAGGAAAATAAGATTCCACTGGAACAGTTAACAGAATATAGTTGAACTTAATTAAAATTTCAAGGGAAATAAGAAGGTCAAAGAAAGCCAATGAATGGAGAAGCCCATAATTGGTTAGGATAAACATAAGAATGCATTTCAGCATAGGCATCTTCTGACCTCTGCCAGCAGCTGGTCTCCCATCATTCTCATTATTATGTAAGG